AGCCACAGGCACTACCCCCTGAAAGAATTTTTTTAAAAATATCTTTTAGCCAGGCACAGTGGCTCATGCCTGTAATCCTATTACTCTGGGAGGCCAAGGTGGGTGGATTGCCTGAGTTCAAGAGTTGGAGACCAGCCTGAGCAAGAGCGAGACCCTATCTCTAATGCAAATAGAAAACATAGCTTGGCATTGTGGTGGGCATCTGTAGTCCCAGCTACTCAGGAGGCTGAGGCAAGGGGATCACTTAAGTTCAAGAGTTTGAGGTTGCTATGAGCTATGATGCCATGGCACTCTACCGCGGGTGACAAAATGAAACACTGTCTGAAAAAATAAATAGAAAAAAAATGTGTGTGAGGCTGGGCAAGATGGCTCATGCCTATAATCCTAGACTCTGGGAGGCTGAGGTGAGTGGATTGCCTGAGCTCATGGGTTTGAGACTAGCTTGAGTAAAAGCAAGACCTCGTCTCTAATAATAGCCATGTATTGTGGTGGGTTCCTGTAGTCCCAGCTACTCGGGAGGCTGAGGCAAGGGAATCACTTGAGCCGGAGCATTTGAGGTCACTGTGAGCTCTGACGCCACAGAAGTCTACTGAGGGTGACAAAGTGAGACTCTGTCTCAAAAAAAAAAAAAAAATTGTGTGCTTATTCTATACCTAATTCCTGTTTAAAATTACTCACTTGTTTTGAAGATGTTTATTTAGAACAAATTGTTTTGAAACCAGATTCCAAAAACATCCACACCTTTGATTTATTGATTATGATTAATGAACGTTGTTAGTTCTGTAAGAGAACTCACTTCCTTTTCATTGTATGAATTTATCATACAAAAGAATCTCATCATTTTCCCTATAAAGATCATAGTTCTGACTTGGCTGATCATATCTCTAATATTGAAAACTAAGTCAGTGGATCAACAATGACAGGATTTTGGTATCTTTACTCTGTATGTTCTAAATTCTGTGGAAACTCCCTCTAAGAACTGGCATAAGGCAACACAGCAGACATACAATTTCTTTCCATTACAAGTAAATTGAAACTTGGATATAAAATAACAAAATAATTTAAAATATTTATTTATTCACCTTTTTTTCTCCCATGGCATATTGCCACTCCATAAGTAATTATTGTACTTTTTTTTTTTTAAGAGACAGGATCTTTCTTCTCACTCAGGCTGGGGTACAATAGCATCATAATAGCTCACTGTAACCTCAAACTCGTGGGCTTAAGCAATTCCCTGCCTCAGCCTCCCTAGTGGGTGGGACTATGATTCATTCAATTTTTTTGTGTAGGGAAGGCCTCTACAGGCATGATCTACCAGGCACAGCCCCTTTCTATTTTAATATATGCGTTTAAGGCTCAACATTTCACTCTATACATGAGTCTGTATCTCTATTTTCATGGTTTTGTGAATTTTTGCTTTATAAAATAGGAACTGATTAGTTTATAGCAAGTTGAACTTTTATTATTATAAAATGTCCTCAGTATGTCAAATAATGCTTTTTTTCTTAATGTTCACTTGGTCAAATGTTAATATTACAACCTTAAAAATTATAGAAATAATTTCAGGCCTAGGCTGATGATATTTTTCTCTATAGGATTTTCATTTGCTCTTTTGAGGGCCAGAAGATACTAGCAAAACACATCCACATTTATGCAATCAGGGATTGAAACCACATGTCAAATCCCTACGAAAGAAGGTCCAGTTCTTTTCCCTTTCTATGGTGAAGCTTTCTGGAGTTTACCAGGAACACTCTGTGATAGGCAATTTCTCACGATTCTGGAGGCTGCGGAATCCAAGATCAAAGCACCAGTAGATTCAGTGTCCGATGAGGGCCCACTCTGTGGTTCATGGATGGTTCTCCTGGCTATGTTCACACAGCTGACTCCCTGAGGCCTCTTTTATAAAAGTACTAATCTTTGGGCGGCGCCTGTGGCTCAGTGGAGTAGGGCGCTGGCCCCATATACCAGAGATGGTACGTTCAAACCCGGCCCCGGCCAAAAACTGTCAAAATTAATTAACTAAAAATTAAAAATTAAATGGAGGAAACAGAACATGATAATCATAAGTTTTTTAAAAACGAAAGCACTAATTCTCTTCATGCAATCTAATTACGTCCCAAAGGCTCTATTGCCCAACACTGACTATCACCTGGGGAGTCAAGATTTCAGCACGAATATGGGTGGGCAGGCAAGGATACAAACATTAAGACCTCAACAATGTCTAAAGAGAAGGGAGGGATTCACAGTAGTTGACCACTTCTGCCTCAGAAGTCTTGGACATTCAGGACGTGTATTCCTGGAGGGCTGTACTGTTAGTTTTTCTCCTTCCTCTAGCATTCTGTGACACGTAATCCAGAGCGCAATGTAGTCTTCCCACTCTTAAACTACGGTAAACCCAGATGTAAATGTTTTCCTCTGCGGAATTCTGTGAGGTATAGGTCGGAATGCACCCGCGGGCATTTCCCACGCTAGGGAATTCTGGGAAGTGTAGTCCGGTACCTCCTGATAGTCGCGGGTACTTCCGCCACTGTAAGACGACGTAGCAGCCATCTTTTCCTTGGTTTTGATGAAGATCATCTCCACAGGAATCTTTCAAACTTCCAGGAAATGTGTTTGGGGTCAACAGCTATCGGACTTTTCGTTTGGGGTGAAAAAGGAAGACCAGCTAAATGCGGAGGTTTGAGTCACGAGGGTGCTGTTTTGTGTTTCCCTGGGCTGGGTTTCTTTGCGTTGGGGGTTTACCGGGTTAAGCCAACCCGGATCATGTTTCGCCAGGTTTGAGGGTGTCCGGGCTGTCCTGTCCCCAACCCGACTCCTCCACCCCCCACCTACGATTCAGCCCTGCCACTTCGTACGGTATCACATTGGGCTACTACGTTAATCTCTCTATGTTCCCGTTTGCTGTTCTATAAAAGGAAAATAAAAGCAATAGCTTCCTAGTGTGAAGTTTTGAGAAAAGGAGATAGTCCAAAAAGCTTAAAATGAGCTTTAGTGAGCCCATGAATCTGGTTTGCCCTAACCCCTAACCCTTTGTAGGAAGGAGAGCATTGCTTTTAGCTGTTCCTGGGGGAATATACAGTGTAATTTATCTTGGATGGAGATACAACACTAGTATTTCACAACCATCTTTCCTTCTCCTGGTCCAGACTTCTCAAAGAGCCCTGCTCGGAGGAGGAGGGGCAGCAGAGCCCCACGTAAGACTTGCCATTTTTCTTCTGCCAAGATATTTACGCAATTCAGAGAATATGTGGGCCATGTACTCTAGCATGGGAAATGATTATAATGAAGCACTAGTTGCTAAGTTTCATTCTAAAGACACCTTTCCCCCGCATCGTGACTCTCAGAAGTAGTGGTGTTATCTTTCCCATAGTCATCCTGCAGGTAGGAGGCAGAGCGAGCATTGGAGCTTAGGCAGTTTGAGTCTGAACTTGAGTTCATGGTCTCTTTGGTATATTCTCCCTGAGCCACAGGAAAGTGGCTAGTGTCATGTGAAAATAGGTTGAAATTTCACTCAAAGGTAGAGACTTTGAGAGAAGGGTTTGGATTATTCCCTGAGTTTAAAGAAGAGTTTTCTCAATTGTTTTTATTTTTAAAATTTCAAATAATGGGGCGGTACCTGTGGCTTAGTGAGTAGGGCGCCGGCCCTATATACCGAGGTTGACGGGTTCGCCCCGGCCAAACTGCAGCAAAAAATAGCCGGGTGTTGGGGTGGGCGACTGTAATTCCAGTTACTCGGGAGGCTGAGGCAGTAGAATCGCCTAAGCCCAGGAGCTGGAGGTTGCTGTGAGCTGTGATGCACTACCGATGGCGACAAAGTTAGACTCTGTGTCTAAAAAAGAAAAAGAAGATTCAAATAATGTTATATAGGTAACATGTAAATCATGGAAAATTCTGAAGATACAGAAATGCACTTTTAAAACACTTAAATTACCAGGCAGCGCCTGTGGCTCAGTGAGTAGGGCGCTGGCCCCATATACCAAGAGTGGTGGATTCAAACCCTGCCCAGGCCAAACCGCAACAACAACAAAAAAATAGCCGGGTGGTGTGGCGAGCGCCTGTAGTCCCCGCTGCTCAGGAGGCTGAGGCAAGAGAATCACCTACGCGCAGTAGTTGGAGGTTGCTGTGAGCTGTGGGACGCTGCCACGGCACTCTACCGAGGGTGATAAAGTGAGACTCTGTCTGTAAAAAAAAAAAAACAAACTTAAATTACCCACAACCTTAGTGTGTAGAAAGAGCAATGATTAACATTATAGTGCTTTTTGTAAGGTTATTCTTGTACATATTTTTATTTAGTTGGAGCTGTTTGGGACTGGTAATACACTGTAAGCCTACTCGCACTGTGACCCATAAAGTAGCAGTATTGGCATCACCTGAGTAGAAATGTCCATTCTTGGGCACCACCCAAGATCTTCTGATTTAGATTTTTGTAGTTGACACCTAAGAATCTGCATTTCAGCAAGATCTCAAGGTCATTTCTGTGCATATTTCAAGTTCCAAAGGGTCCTATTTGTAAATTCAGGTCTAGCAAATTGACCCTGCCAGACGTCATAGGTAAAACTGCGCTAGCCATATTAGAACAGTACTAATGATTTGTAACAGTCCAGGGATTTTTCCTTCCCATTAAGTATTGTGTTTTTGGTTTTGTTTTGTTTTTTGTTGTTGTTTGTTTGTTTTTTTGAGACAGAACCTCAAGCTGTGACCCTGGGTATAGTGCTGTGTCATCAC